GGGCCCGAGCGACGGCGCCGGCCGGGGCCGCGGCGCGGGGAAGCCACTTTGCACGGTCAGCGCCGGCCACAAGTTTGTTCCTCGGCTCCTGGGGGCCTCCGAGCTGAGGGAGAATAACGCGGAGGGGGCTGAGAGGAGGGGGAGAGGGGAGGCGCCGAGGGGCAAAAGAGTGGGGAAAAGTGCGAAAAGAAGCAACAGCCGCTCCACCCGGGGCCAGAAAAGTGGCTGGCCGCGTCCCGACCGCCCGCCCTGCGCCGGGGATGCGGCGGCTAACGGTCCAAGGAGGCGGCAGGGGCGGCAGGAGCCGCTAGGCGGAGAGAGACCAGGTAAGAGACATAACGGTTCAGGGAGAGCGAGCGGCCGCGGCGCGGCTCCGGCAGCGGCAGCAGCGGAGGGGGGCAGAGAGCACTACTTTCTACTTTCCCACTCCACTTTGCTCGTCCCTGCCCCAGCCGCCCCCAGCCCGGCTCGCCCCCCTCACCCCCGGGGGCGCCCCGGCTGCCCGGCTCCCCCTGACTCCGCCGCTCCCCGGTCCCCTCCGCCACTCACCGTTATTGCGCCGCGGGTTCGCCTGCTTTCTGCGCTTACACCTGGGGCCATCCGCCATGATCCTCTCGCTTGTGTCTAAATGCTCGAGTCACCTCCTCCCCCTCCCTCCCCCTTCCCCCCCACCCCTCCGCCTCCACCCCTCCCCCCTCCCCACCGCACCTGGTTTACGACACTCGCGGCTTTACGACATCACCTTCCTTACACCTAGAGCCGCTCGCTCTACGGCCGGAACCTTGTTGCTAGGGAGAGGACGGTTTGCGGCAACCGTAGAAGCAGCTGAGTTTGAATTGAGGGGAGAGGGAAAAGTTTCCCTCAGGTGTCGTGGGATGGGGGAGGGGGCCGTTGGGAAACTGTGGGGACGTGGTCAGAAGGGCGGCAGGCAGTCGGAGGGAGAAAGGTAAATTAGGAGGCTCAGCGGCGTTCTGCTTCTGAACTGGCCACACCCGCCGCGGCTGCCTGGGGCACCGACGGGTCTGGCTGATTGCTCTCAGGACCCTGTACCCTCAGAGCTGCCCCTCGCAGTGACCGGAGCAACCTGTCCTCCCGGTTGGTCAAGGTTGGGCTCCGCTCCCACGCAGCGTGTGTTCTCTCAGCGCATCCTGGGGCTCGAGAGAGGGTCTGTCTGGGCTACCCGGGGAGTTGCCAAGAGTAGAGGGAGGGCAGGTTCGGGGAACGGTAGGGACTGATATGGGAAGCTCGGCCTCTGACGGCGAGGACACGCGGCGTCAAGAGAGAGGCTACCTGACCCCGCAGTTCTGACTCCCTTCCCTTACACGGACGCACGGTTTTCCCCCAAGCGAACCGGGATGGGAAGTGACTTCAATTAGATAGAACTTCAGCTGGACCGAAAGAGAGGAGAGAAGTTCCGCTTGCAGGCAACGCCGGCGGTAAAGCAGAATGAGTAATACCCACACGGCCCCCGTCTCACTTCCTCATCTGCACCAGGCTCTCACCTGCTGTCACCTCGGCCTCCCCCGCCCCGCCGTCCTGCTCTGGGCCCTCCTCCCTGCTTTCTTTCCCCTTAGACGGACGAGGTCGGAGGCGCCAAGACGTAGAGTTAAGGTACTAAGGGGCATGATTTACTACCTAAATGGGCAGTTATCGCTGAATAGGACCTTAAGGCAAGAAACAAGGGCTGACAAATGTGGTCTTTGAAATTGATAGATTGCTGATCTTATCTCAACTCTCTGACTTTATACAAGTTTGGGGATTTCTAAAAGACCATATAGATAACACTACAAATAGCAAGAAAGTCAAATCTTAAGTATTCAGTAGGATTTAGCTTTCCCTTCCTTCCCTCCCTCTGCCTCGTTCAGATGAGGACAGGTCTTTGGTACCAGCTTTATAGAATAAATGAGCTGTATTTAAAATAATTTAGTTGTCAATTAACAATGTAAAAGTTACTTAGAAATTGCGAAAACTGAAATGTGACATAGAGTATTAGAAATAGCACAGTAAGTCACCCTGCACAGTGCTGTCCCATAGTAGGTGCTCAATAAATGTGTCTATAATTTTTGCCATACCTATGGCAAGATTATTATATTAAAATCATCTTTTAAACACTCTAGAATTTTAGAAGATCCATTAATCTCTTCAAACCCTTCAACTGAAATAAATTTACATCTGAAGTCTGGTAATTTAAAATTAGAAAGTTTAATCCTGAATATAGATGAAAATTTTCTCTTTCACATTTTCTTTGGCATTTTGAGACGTGAATGCATTATTAGTGCATGAAATGTGACTGTAAATATTCTTTGCTATACATTATGTCTATATATCTACTCATCCTCGATGCCAAAACTAGAATCATTACTCTTAATGATCATTTTAAGTACAGGCAGTCCTTGAATTCCTTAATACCATGTTAACCGAACTTGTGTATGTCAGAACCAGAACCATGTCCATGTTTTGCTTGGTTCAAGCAGTAATTTTTTCCTACCTCCTAAAATCTGTGCAGTGTTCTTTAGTTGCCTCCTGAATCCAGCAATTCTTCCCACACCACACAACTTTTTTTCACTACCCTAATTTCCAGTCTTGGGGGAAAGAAATACTTTCTAAGTAGAAAAATGTGTAGCACACATTTTACCTGCTCTTAAACTTAGGAAGTATTGCTCATATCCTTTTCTCTTTCTGAAGTGTCTGTCCTGTACTTCCCTACTAAGCTTCCTTCAATATTCATCCTCACCTTAAAATCAAAGAGACAAAGGGACAAGTAGGTACTCATTGTCTTCCTTACTTTAATGGTTACTGGTTTAGTTAGCTTGGGCTAGACTTTTGTTGTTCATTTCTTTGCCCTCAGGACCTAGTGGAGTACCTAGTTATATAGGAGATGCTCAATAGGGAAATCTTTCTTAAATTAATATTCTTGACCTTTCTTATATAAAGTGAGGATTGTTTATCTGTCTTCATCACATTAGTTGTTTGGAACAGTTGAAATCATGGATGTAAAAGCTGATTACTGTCATTTATATCCTGCCTTATTTTGAAACTAATTATCTTGATTTTAGTGTCTCCATAATGGTTTTCCCCAAATGATTAACTCTGCTCACTCCTGTGTTTTAAATGTGCATAGGAAATATTATTGATATCTTAAATCTTCTAATACAAAATTTCAATTTTGTAAAATCCTGGAATAATATATATTACAAATTGAATATTTGATTAATACATTTTGTTCACTGTAATGTTCCCAAAATTATTGAAATCTAGACTGAAAAGAAAGCAGACAAAAGTAAATCTCAGAATAAGTTGCTGCTTTAAGCCTGATGCATATGTGATGGCTGCTTATCTCTTAAATATAATGAAAGAATTGGAAAAAATCTCTAGAATAAGTTTAGAAAAGGAAGAACTTTATTAAAATTTAGCTTTATTTAGTCAGTTATACCTCAATAAAAAAATTTAGGTTCATTTAAATCAACCATGGTGGGGATACTTGTAAGAGTTTAACATGTATCTCATATCATTGATTTTAGTTATTGTAGTGTCATTATGCAATATATATTCAGTATATATACTCCTAATTTAAGTGTAAATGAAATGTTAATATTCTGCTTCTAGTGTGCACTGGGATTGCATGTGCTGAAAGAGGTATTCTGCTAAAAATGAATTACTACAATCTTTTTTAAATTTATAAGGAAAATGTAAATGGGTAGAATATTCAATACTGAGGTTTTTTTCCAGAACTTTTTCTTAAACCCTTTGCACCTGCTATTTGCTTTCCATGTAAGATTCATGTATAATAAGTTAGGATAAAATTTGACATAAAATTATTTTGAATTTAAAATGTAGATATTTCATGGTGTTCTACATTGAGCATATGATTTTCGCATACCTCATTTCCTGAACACATTTGGGAACTATAACTTCTAATATGATTCTATAATCGTCATCAAAATAAGAAGTTGGTTTTTATTGAAAGATAACATTAATTACATCAACTAAATTAATTATATTACCATGTAATTTTAATCTTAGAGCTTTGAAAGAAAAAAGAATAAATTTGACACAGGTTACCCATCAAAGTACAGAATTTAGAAGTCCCCTAATGTTGCCCCTCAATCCTTAGCTCAATAATGACTCTGGACGTGGCATTCGCAATGAGACAAAAGAGGGCCATGGTGGTTTAATTGCTGCAGTTTGACCAAATTCTATAGTCACTGAGTCAGGAAGGAAACATGACTGCAGAGTGATCCAGAACCAACAGCTGCCTTTGGGACCCACACCAACTTTTCTAATAAAGTCTCCCAGGAGGTAATAATAGGGACAAATGTTTTCCCCGAACCTCCATGTGGTTTTACTACATATTGAACCATAAAATGGTTTTTCCCTCTGGGGAATAAGGCTCCTATTTTTAATATAAGCCAATGAAATGTTAACACACAGAGCTTCTTATTTTGGGGGCATTTTTTCCAGTAACATGTCTAATACAAAGAGATGTAAGTATAAATAAATGTAGAAAAAGATGTTTGAGGTGTTAACATCCAAAAACTAAAACTAATGTTTCCATAAAATCACAGTAATTAATATAATTGTTTTCAAAGGCTGCCTTCATGGAAGATACAGTTTCTATTATTGATATCAGTTAGAACATGAATAACATTTTTTTTGTATACTTGACAACTACAGGTAAATTAAAGCGCAACATGCATATTCTGGATTTGAGTGAATTTTAAGTATATACCTTATCAAGGATCTGATACCTGGTTTGTACTGCTGTTTTTTTCCCCTTTTGTCTCCATGTATGTCTTTTCTCTGGCATCTTGATCTATTTATTTATTTTTTTAGCAGCTGACAGGTTCTGCGACAGAGTATAGCTATTTCATTGACCTATAGTCCACAGATCCTCAGTTATAGTCACTGCCACTTTTCATTTTTTGGAGTATATTTATTTAAAATACTTGCAGTCATTAACGGGTTTTCAATGTCCTACAATTGTGTTACGCTCACATGAAAAAGTTGGCAATAAGAAACACCCTGTGTTCAAATATATCCACCACTTTAAGATCCCTGGTCAGACCCTTCTCATTCCTTCTTATGCCTCTATTTCTAGGTTACTCTCTTTATCCTAATTACATAAATAGATCACAGACTCTGCCCCTCTCCACTGGTTTACGTTTTAATCATTGTCTTCATGTTTCTTTGTGCCAGGTCTAACACAGATCTATTTGGATCAATTCCTTTCTCTTTTTGTTCAAAGTTTTTTGAGTCATCCCAACTCTGTAAAATGCTTTGATTTTTCATATTCTGGTTTTTCTCTGTCAAAGTCCATTCTCTGCCT